CACCTATTTACATATATACAGTAAGTATGTGTGTGTGCGTACATTTATATGTAAGAATTTACCCTATTTATCTATACGATAGATCACACCTACTTGAAATACTTATTCTGATGAATAATTTCAAACGATTAAAGATTCAAATGCCTCCCCGGAAGAGTTACACTACTACTTCCGTATTCTTAAGCACGAGAAATCTCTGGCTTGTTCTGAAAATACCTAATGATAGCAAACGAGAGTAACTGCACTTTATAAAACTTTATCTACGAAACTGTACCTTCTTAAATTTAAACTTGACCTAATTAAGTTATCTTCTCTCTCTCTCTCTCTCTCTCTCTATCTATCTATCTATCTATCTACCTATCTATCTATATATTTAACTGTCCGACATGAAATATTTATTATAAGATATGAAAATTGTCTTTTTTTTTCTTTTTCCCTCTTTCTTTCCATCTTTCTTTTTATCGTTCGCGTTTAACGTTTAAAATAATTTTTAATTCGAATAATCGTGTTAGAAAAATCGTAGACATAAAAAATTTCCGGTCCAAAGACCAAGTAATGGAAATTTTTCCTTTGACGTACTGGAATAATTAAGTTTTCTTGTCGACTTAAGACGCTACGGTATATGTAACAGGTGTCTCGTAAGTAGGATTTTGCATGTTGTGAAAAAAAGAAAGAATGAGATAGATAGAAAGAGAGAAAGAGAGAGAGAGAGGGAGAGAGAAAAGGACAGAAAGAGAGAGAGAACGGTGATGGATCGCCATAGTGAATCAGGACTACCTTTCAGCGTTGAAAATGAGCCTGTAAAAAGGACGAGAAAGCTTCTTTTGGTCTTCTATACCGGAAGCACTTTCTTCCTTCCTATCTCTCTCTCTCTCTCTCTCTCTCTCTCTCTCTCTCTCTGTCTTTCACACAAACACACACGAACAAGCACCCACACACTTTTCGTTTTTTTTGTATAACTCATAGAATCTTTCCATCGGTTCGCTTCAACATCATCAATTTTCGGCCGTGAGGGTTCGTTCTATTTGCAACGTAATCGTGAATAGACTCGAAATCAATGTTGTTAATTCATTGGAAAATTTCCATTTGTTTTTCCTTTTTATAATTTTCTTTCATATCCGGTCGAATTAATAATTAATATTATTATTATATCGATTGGTTCGATTAAACGATTATGGACAAACCATCCAGAGACCATTATTTCAAATTTGTAGTTCGTATTAGGTATATACGTGTTTGAAAGTTGACTTGTTAAAATGATAGACACAGGATGAAATATATATATATATATATATATATATATATGTATGTATGTATGTATGTATGTATGTATGTATGTATGTCTGTATGTATGTATGTATGTATGTATGTCTGTATGTATGTATGTATGTATGTATGTATGTATGTATGTATGTATGTATGTATGTATGTATATATGTATATTCAGATATATGAACATAACTCGTACATCGTTAGCAGGCGTATATTTTATGCAGATCCAAAATTATTCAACCGAGGTACGTTGGACGAGAGTAAATCGTTTATCGAGTAGAGTTTAAAACTCGAATTACGGTATTTCGATGAATGGACGTAAGTGCTTAGCGCGCTCGGCTTTGTCGAAAATAGTTGGCGTTTTCCATAGATTCATCCGGTTACGCGTTTATATGCATAACTAAACGTCGTGTATCGTTCCATCCCGTTAAAGAGAGAAAGAGAGAGAGAGAGAGAGAGAGAGAGAGAGAGAGATAGAAAGAGTAGTAACTTTCACATTGACTCGATTTTCACTCTACGCTCGTACCAGAGATTGAAATAGTTTTCGTCAACGTACTCGTTTCGTTGGTGGAAAAAAAAAAGAAAAAGAAAAAAAAAAAGAAAGAAAGAAAGAGAAGAGAAAAAAGGAAATAAATAGAAACAAAAAATAATAGAATGGAAAAAGAGAAAGATAAAAGAGTAGATAAAACGAATACCCTTTCGCGTAAATATATTTGAAAATTTGGTTTGAACGAACGAACGAATGAGAGAAAACAAAAAAATGAAAAAAAAAAATAAAAAGAGACGAAAAACAAAAAAGAAAGGAACAAAAGAAAAAACGTAATTTCGTTATAACCATAAAAATGTAAAAAAAAAAAAAAAGAAAAAAAAGAAAAATTGGCAACTGCCAAATTGACTCTCAATAAATGGTGAAATAAAAAGAAGAAGAAGAAGAAGAAGAAGAAGAAGACATGGAATAAGGAATAGCGAACCGTGTTTCGGGGCTAATCGTCGTTTTGTTACCATCTTAACGAAACTCTAATTTCTTTGGTAAGGTAAAAGTAGGAAAGTACTAAACGATGTTCACCTAAGAGGACCGAACGAATATAAGGATGGTGGTTTTGCGCCAACTTTAATAACGAACGTTTTACTTTCGAAAAGTTACATTGGGGAGTAAGAGTTTTGCAGTACGCGTAAAAGAAGAGAAAATCGACCCTCTCCAAAGTTTCGTCTAGGAAAAACCTTCGAAACGATCGAAACTGTGGCCTCGAGCTATTCCGATTTTCTTCTAAATTTTCCTTCATTATCGTGATAATTAATGAACCCTTCTCTTTCTTTCTTTTTCTCTCCCTCTCTCTCTCTCTCTCTCTCTCTCTCTCTCGTTTTATCTCTCTCTCTCTCTCTCTCTCTCTCTCTCTCTCTCTCTCTCTCTCTCTCTCTGTTTCTCTAAGCCTCTTTATTATCGTACAACAAACTTGTTCCGAGCGAATAGATGAGAAGAAAATTTCTCATCTATTATTTTAGAAACATACAAAAGGGTTTATTATTTCAACGTTGTATAAATATCGCAATGTATTTGTTGAATAAATAGTAAATCTTCTAATGTCAACGAAATAACAATAAACCATGAACGTGAATTATAGCAGCAATATTGCGGACTTTGTATTTATTATTAAGACATCGATAATAACTTGACCATTGTAACTGGACAAATATGTTCCTCCTAAGCTACGTAGTTAAACTTTCTCGAAATGTAAACACTCTTTTCCCTCTCTTCTCTTGATGAGGGTACGTTAGAGCCTCGTTAAAATTCCCTTACCGTTAAATAACCTTCAAACTTTGAATGATTTTCATGATTATCTTTACGAATATTCTGATGAAATATATATAAAACGTTGTAAGTATTATATTAATTTTAATATAATAATTTAATATATTTAATATTCAAAGGAAAAAGAAATAAAAATTATTAGACATATTTTATACATATATATATATATATATATATATATATATATATATATATATATATATATTGTAGTTCATCTCTGTTATTATCTTAATTATATTCTGTATATTAAAAGGCATTTTTTTCATTCATTTATAAATAATTAAAATGTTCAGATATTTCTATAAAATATTTCTCATCATATAAAGTACATACACACATACGCGCGCACACACACACACACACACACACACACATATATAAAACATTTTTACTTGTATTATAGAACATGTTGGCATCGTTTTTCTTAAAGAAAAAAGGAAAAAAAAAAAGGGGAAAAAAATAGATACCATCCTATTCATATAATTATAATATTATATTATTTATAAAATGAATATAATATTATTTTTGAAAAACGTTAGACTTCAGACAAATGTAATAAAAAATCAATCTCTGTAGAATTCAAAATAGTCTTCGAGTTATAGGAGTGACCGATATGCGGGCATGGAAAGTAACATACACGATTACATCAAGCAATCACCATCGAAGTTTGCCGTACTACCTCCATAAAGAAACGATTCGAGCGAGTCGCGGAAATACGTGTTCTAAAATCTACATAATGGCCCCATCCGAGCCTTTCAAAAACCTACCACCACCTGTCGACAAGACCTTTCTCATTTCTACGAGATTGACTCGGTCCTCGTTCGTCTGTATGCAAGTTCTTCGTCTCTCTCTCTCTCTCTCTCTTTCTCTCTCTCTCTTTCTCTCTCTCTCTCTTTCTCTCTCTTTTTCTTTTATTCTCTCTCTCTCTCTCTCTCTCTCTCCCTTTCTCTCTCTTTCTCTCTCTCTCTCTCTGTTGCAAAAGAAGAAAAAAAAAGAAACGAACGACTTTCTTTCTTCCGAAACAATGGCCGAGCCAAGCTCGATCCCTGTCCGCTGGCAGCAATTTTCAAAATAGTTTTTCGCACTTCGGTTCATGGACCTTAAGGAGTTTTCACTCATTCACAAAAAAAAAAAGAAAAGAAATAAAAAAAGAAATAAAAAGGACAAAATAAAAAATAAAAAAGATACGCAAGAATGGACTCCTTCGTTCATTACTACCATCGCTTTTTATTATTATTATTATTATTATTATTATTATTATTATTATTATTATTATTGTAAACCAGAGATAAATAATATTTTTATCCTCTCTCTTTTTTTCCCTCGAGATAATTTTTTTAGAGATAATTTTTTTTTAATCTTCTCTCTCTCTCTCTCTCTCTTTCTCTCTTTCTCTATCTTTATCTTTGTCTCTATATCTGTGCTTGCTTTTCCTCGGTAGTCACGATCGATTCCACTTGGTTCGAAATCACCAGACGATAGATAACTCTGGTAATAGAAAATTTAAAGAGCGTGGAAAAGAAACGCTTCGACGGGGGGGGGGGGTAGGGGAGTAAGAGGGGGGGGGAGGTGAAAGTTTGACGATCCAATTTAAGCGAGAAGAAAACGTTCATCAATCGTTATATCTCGAACGAAATCATATTATATTAACCATAAATGATTCCTTCTAGATTTTCTCAAGGAATCGTATAGCCCGACGATCTTTAATATCTCCCTTCTATATATATATATAAATGGATCTTATTTCGTTTTGAAATTAAATTGCGATCGAAAGATAAAAAAAAAAAAAAAGAAAAAAAGACAATATTATCAGGATGGAGAGGGTTAGGGGATGGGGAAAGAAAAGGAAAGAAATGAAAAAAAAAAAAAAAAAAAAGAAAAAAGAATTGACGGACGATATATTTCTTTGTGATTTCAGCCATGCGAAAAGCCAAGTGATTTTCGTGCGGAACAATGCGCGGCATTCGATGATGTACCGTACAGTGGACAATTGTTAAAATGGTATCCACATTACGATCCAGCACGGCCCTGTTCTTTGATCTGTCGTGGGGAGCAATCGCTTGGGAATAATGTCGGTCGATTGCAACAGCAACAGCAACAGCAACAGCAACAGCAGCAACAGCAGCAACATCAACATCAGCACCAATACCAACAACAACAGGAGCTAGGGTCAAACGAGAAGATGACACTTACTAGCGATGCCCAAGATGCTCTACAATTTGATTCCGATGAGACAATAGTTGTCCAGTTAGCCGACAAAGTTGAGGATGGCACGAGATGTTATCTCGATGGCCGTGACGTCTGTATTAACGGCGAATGCATGGTAATTTTATCATTGTTCGTATAATAATTAATTTCACGTCTATAAATTCATATCTTATTTTTCCTTCCTTCTATTTCTTTTTCTCTTCTTTTTTTCACTTTTTCATTTCCACGACAAGACATTAATCGTCGAGTTTAATTAATATTGTTTTCTTCTTTCTTCTTATTTATTTTATCCTGTTTCTTTTTTTTCTCTCTCTCTCTCTCTTTTTTTTTCTCCTCGCGGTACTTCCTACAGATATATAACAGATAAATAGTAGCCTATGTAGAGAAACAGACTTAAGAGTAATATGTAAGTTCCGATAGAATCAACGTGGCTTGCGGATAAAAATTGCACGTAGTTTCACGTTCATTGACTTCCATAGACTTAGAGACTCACGTGACGATATCAACGACCTACAGACCCGTATGAATTATCCACGTAGCTGCTTCGTGCGACTGGCCAGTTGTTCACATCGTTGCATCTCTCTCTCTCTCTCTCTCTCTCTCTCTCCCTCTCTCTCTTTCTCTTCATTTCTTTCTAACGATTCAAACTTGCTCTAGTCGTATTTTTATATTTCGTTAAATTCAACGAAGAGTTCCATTCATTTTGATTTTTCAAAGATTTCTTTCGAAGAATATCAACAAAAAAAAAATCCAGAACGGGAATCAAAGAACTTGGAGTTGAAAATTCTAAAAAAAAAAAAAAATTATAAGAAAAAAAGGAAAGTAAAGAAAGTAAAAAAAAAAAAAAAGAAAAAAGAATAAATGTAAAATTTCATATACAATTATATCGTCTTACGTAATAAGTATTATGCATCTGCATACATATGTAGGTACTATCTATCGATCCAATGGTAGAATCAAGTGGAGTACTTTAGACCCTTATACCTACTCCCTTTTGGACGTTTGTCATAGTTTCGAGAAAGGGCGAAAGGCAAACATCAATAGCAGGTGTTTCATGCGTGGTTTGCCAAAGCTTCGATCTATCCTACGCAGATTCAATTCTAACAGTTTACCAACTGCATTTCACTTATAACAGGATCACTCTGAATCCTATCGATGTATGATATAGTTCTAATATCGATTAACCTTGAAACGATCACGAAAGCTCTTGAAAATTTGATGATGTTAGTTCGTGCGAATTAAAAAAAAAAAAAAAAAAAAATAATAAAAAGAAAAAAAGAAAAAAAATTTATCCGATCGATCGATCAACAACGTTGATCAAATTAAATTTTGTCTCGCGAAGTGGTCTGATATTTTTCAATT